TAAATCTTATATGGCGGGAAGTTGAATAATTAGCCAATCGGATTTAAGAAATTACACAATTGCAGTTTTTATATTACTGGTGCATAAACTGACAATGATTTTTGACGTTTCAATAGTGTAGTTACTGAATTTCATTTACTAGCAGAGGCTAAATAAAAAGTTGGTAAATGTTGACCCCTTGATTTAAATTGTGGTTTGGGCTCTGCATGTTGAAGTTCTGGTCCAGCACAACATTCTGCCCAACTGATTGCCTGCTTGACTTCCTCCACCCTTGGCAGTATCCACAGTTGTCAAAGCCCATCTCAGTCCTCAGAGTGGAACACCAGCTCTTTTCAGGGTGTTTTGTAGATGGCCAGAGGACACCTGCTCAGGCTCTGTTTATTTTCTTGAACAAACACCCAAGCAATGTGTTTATGATAGGAAAAACCAAGCACATGAGTAAACATTTGCTTAAGTCCCATCTCCCCTTCAACCTCCATATAAACAAGCTTATTTTGTCGTTTCCTCCTTTTTTTTCGACGTGCATTCTTTTCTTTTAGCGACCACATAACTCGGCACAATCCTATTTCTGTATTTCCCAAAAAGTCCTGTCATCGTTCCACCACCTGCTTTGAATTTGCTGTCCCACGGTAACAAGTCTTGATTACTTTCTTTTCTTTCTTTCTCTCTCAGTTTCTTCCTTTGAATATGTATCAGACTATTTTTAAAAAATCTCAAAGTAAATCCAGATTCGAATGTCCAGCTGCCAAAACGAGCAACCCGTCTTTTGGTATGGTTAAGTTGTACATTTTTGTTTTTCCTGCCAGGACATCTGTCTTCTGACACACCCTGTCATTATAAGAAAAAGGAAGCAGCATCTTTTGATTATTTTCATTCGTATTGCATACATTTTCACGGAAACTCAGTAAGGTCTGTCAAAGGCATTAAAAAAGATGTTAAACTTTGTGACTGCCACATTTTAATCATGTTGTAACTGCTCTGTGGTTATGGGTTTTTAACCTTTTTGAACACAGATTGTCTATACTTTGAATTGGTCAGAAAAAACACCTTAAAACCCCTGAAGACTTTAGTTGTTTAACAAGCATTAATCATTTTGGCCTCTTGAACTTGTCCTCTATGATCTAAAGTCCACATGTTAGCCAAATTTAGATCTCAGTTACACAATTAGGCATCAATGTATTTATTACATTAGTTTTTTGAATATTAATTTGCTATAAAAAAAAATAATTATATATATATATATATATATATATATATATATATATATATATATATATATATACACAAACACACACACACACATTCTCATGCGTCTTAACGTGAGATCAGGCTGGCTGTGAAATAACTAAAATCATTCTGCATGGGATATTCTTAGTGATATGGAACTATGAAACTGTCAAGACCAGACTGAAACAATTATAGTGTGTTTCCCTGAAAATAATTGCATGCCTCAAAATTCTCAAGAGCCAACCAGATTCAAGCATTCAACAGCTTTGTAGTATAAACCTTCATAATTCTTCAACTATTCTTTAAACCACTAGGTTTTACCCATTTTTCATACAATTTAATATAGTATGATCACTTATTCTGCTATATATTATATTAAGTGCAGGACAGAATAAGTATGTTGTTCTTTTTTTTTTTTTTACTTAACACAAGCACTAATTACTTACTTTTTTTAAAAACAGGTAAAAAATAAATCAGTTTTACATTTACATAAACATATAATCATCCAGATTATTTCTATTATCCCATTTTATTTTCACTAAAGATATTTGAAACATTTCATTGTACATTCTGACACAAAAAGCACAGTGCCAGGTTGGAGGCTTCTGTTTGAAGTCCAGTGACACTTCCAGGCCCTCTTAGTTAGTCAGTTTTCTAGAGGCAAAATGCATTTCTGGCTGCTCCTAACAGAAGCAGAACACCTCGGCACATCTGGACTCACCGCTGCATCTATTACACAAGCCCCACTATGTGAAGTCACGTCCAAGTCAAATAAGCAAGCCCTTCCACCCCCCCTTAAGGAACACCTAAAGAGGGACAAGGGTAAGCCTGCCAAAAAAAAAGGACTCCGACCTCAAGCATTCCTCTCATCCAGGTCATGTTTTCATTACCCCGACAAATTTACACAGTTGTTAGTGATGGCCTGGGATTCCTCCTAAAGCACAGCCCACCAATAATAAACAGAGGCCAGCTGACACCCTCAGACACCTGCAAGCCTCCCTGACAGTGCAGGATTGTTCCCAGGCCGGAGAGCACCAAGAGGCCCTGCTTTCCTCTTAAACGTGTTATCCATTTGAGAGGGTGCCATCGTACCGCCCTGACACACTCATCTGAGCCAAGAAGGAAGCGCATCACTGGTATGTGCTACCAGAGGAAACATCATCACGAAGCAGTCAGTGGTGAATTTCCCTACAGCAACGTTAACCTTCGACTAGTTCTGTCATATACAGCAGTTTAATGACTTGCTGTTTTCTGACAAATATTGAAATTTGATAAATGGAGAAATTAGATATAACATACCAGTTCATATTTCGATTTCATATTTATAAAATAAATGTTGTATATGATAAATATATATTCTGAAATATTGGAAAAATTGTCCACTTACATATATACTTTTGTTTTTATTTACTTCTGTGGCGACCCTGGATTAATAAAGAGACTAAGCCGAAATGTGTGTGTGTGCGTGTGTGTATACACACACACACACACACACACACACACACACACACATACTGTACAGTGCTCAGCATATATAAATACACCCTTTACACATCTTTTAAATTCATATTTTTAATAGGAAGATACTCAATATTATATTTGTGCATATACATTAGATTAGTCAGTACTGAAGCCAAATCTGGAGCTTATCTAACAAAATAACTTACGATAACGGTCCAAAAACTAGTACACCCAAATTTATGCTATAGAAAAATATTAAATACAATTTTTTTTTTAAAAAGAGGGGAAAAAATCAAAAGAAACTAAAAAAATTGAAAAATTTAGGTGAAGTTTTGTAGGTTGTATTTATTTATTTATTTATTTTTTTGCAATATTTTGCTTTAAATGTATTATCTTTCAATTTCTAAATTTGTTTGGTGATTAAAATATGATAATTTTTAATAAATATATCTGTTTAATAAACTGATTTGTTTAAATGCAGGAAAATACATTGCCTATATTCACTAAGAAATGAACAAAAATATTCATTTTTAAAATGGGGTGTTCTCAGTATTATTAGCCCTCCCTGTTTATTTTTTCCCCAATTTCTGTTTAACAGAGAGAATATTTTTCAACACATTTCTAACCATAATAGTTTTAATAATTCATTTCTAATAACTGATTTATGTTATCTTTGCCATGATGACAGTAAATAATATTTGACTAGATATTTTTAAGACACTTCTATACAGCTTGAAGTGACATTTAAAGGCTTAACTAGGTTAACTAGGCAGGTTAGGGTAATTACGCAACTTATTGTATACGATGGTTTGTTCTGTAGACTATCGGAAAAAAATATAGCTTAAAAGGGCTAATAATTTTGACCTTAAAATGTTTTTTTTTTTTTTTTAATTAAAAACTTTTTATTCTAGCCAATATAAAACAAATAAGACAATAATAGATAATATTATCAGACATACTGTGAAAATGTCCTTGCCATCATTTGGGAAATATTTAAAAAGTAAAAAAAAAATCTAAAAGGGACTAATAATTCAACTGAATATTCCAGATCAAAAATCACTAACATACATTTTACCCAGATTTACAGATGACTTAAATGTCATTCTGTAAAACAATAGTTGATATAGCAAACAATCTTTTTAGGCACACTCAGATCATGAATCATTTGTTGACATATTAAAATACTCTTTTTAAGAGTACAAAAAAAGCCATAGAATACTATCATTTTAGATCTTTATTATTTGCCACCATCCTTTCAAAGCTGTAGGTTTTGTCAACAAAGACCTTTTAATTATTCAACATATAATAAAACTAAGCATAGTTAATGTGAAGCATTGAAGACACTGTCCTTGCATTTATTATCTAAAAAATCTTGTTTGTAAATGAACTTTTTTGCAAACACTAAAATGAGGCTTTGACTTTTGCTAGTTCATTCATAACTGACATGTTTATAATGTCTGTAAATAATGTTTGCAATATCAGATACAGTAAACGTCTTGAAGGTACAACACCTGCTCTGTTAAACTCCGGGAAACGGATGGAAACAGTCAGATCTGTTTTTATCACTTGGCTTGTGGGCTTATGAGGGCGAGAGGAAACCTTTCTGCCATTGAATGTCTGTGGGCTAAAGGGTTTTGATTCCTCGTCTGCAATCGAAAAATGATCTCCAATGCTCGCTCTGCCCGCTGTAATTCCTCGCCTTTGCCTGATGATTTCTTTTCAAGGCTGACGGGGGAAGAGCAGAAGCCACAGATAAGGTAGCTGGATCAGCCCCTGGCCAGCTGTGAACCCGATAGCATCTGTTTAAAGCATCTAAAGGAAGAGCGCTCCTTTTTAAGTCTGCACTGCTAGTTATCTCACTTTTATCCTGCACATGTAAGGGGAATCCACAGATGGCCTGGGATCTGATAGAAATACAAATGTGATATCATTGACTGTGCTATCAAAAAAAGGATGGCTTCACAAAAGAAGTGCGACTCTGTCTCTCGCTGTCTCTTAAGAGGTAAACAGACAAGCCAAAACAGGGATCCTCTTCAGAGCAGATGTGGTTGGACATTATTCTTTCATCATTGCCATTCAGACAAAACAACTACTGACTGAACTCTGAATGATGTTTTACGTTTAAAAAATAATTACAATGAGTGTTTTTTTTTTTACCGTTATGAATTGTTACACAATTTTATTAAGGGGATGAATTTGTAACTGAATCTTCCCTATCGTATTTATTTATACATCTCCATCGTCTAGTTTCTCAAGACTGCACTTTACGCTGCAGATTATTTATACAGCATGTCCTCCTGTTTTTCTTGCAGTCCATCATTTTCATAAGGGACCAAAATGCTCGTGGACAGGAAATATCTGCGTATATAGACTACTCCCACCGACTAAAATCTGAAGACTTTGAGCCATATTTCAGCGGAAAGAAAAGGCTTTTGCCAAAAACATCTGACTTAAGGTAAGCCTACTTATATTATGACCCATCCGTGATGATTTCCGGCTACTATTGTTTTAGTGGATGTGCTACTGAACATCTCAAAGGTTAGATTAATGTGCAGGAAAGCAGCATCCAACTGATCCCTGAAGCATTTGTCTTTGTGACATGGAAGCCCACTCCAAATGATGCATGAAAATGAGCATGAAATACAGTGAAAACAAAACAGACTCACTCTTCATAAAACAGAGGAAGAGTGGGTTTTTGCAATAACCAGTGCATTCAAAAAAAAAAAAAAAAAAAAAAAAAAAAGAGTAGATGTACACTGTGAGAAATGGCTTTTCATTCTGTGATGTTAATGTTAGTCTATGATGATCCTCTGTAAAACAAGTTAGGAAAATTAAAACATTCCCAAAAGGCTTTATAGTGTACATTCTGTACACTACTTTGCACTTTGCTGTTTGTTTAAACTACCTATTTAATATGAGCCAAAACAACACAACTCTTGACTTTTTTTTGCAACTACTTCATTGTTTTACGTGCAATGCACTTAAATTTGTAAAAACTAATAAGTTAACTTAATTCCTCATGTTGGTCCCACACAAATCGATTTATTGATGCAGTTTTTACTGTGTATCGTTGATCTTATTTTTGTTTTAAGATTCACTTTAATGATTTTTAATTTAATAACAAATAAAAAAAACAAGCATACACAGGGAAATACAAGGAAAGTGTGGTATATTTTAGGTGAAATACTCCCAGGGTCATTTTATATTCAATTTGATATTTAGCCGGTGTTTCGTAGCATGTTAAGCATGTTAAGTTAACTGAACATGATAAGCTAAATAAGTTAGTGGCTATTCTTTCTTTCTAATGCAGCCCTTTGACTATTAGGATAGACATGAAACATACTGCAAAGATAGATTAGTATGGTTTATGTATTCCTTTTCACATTGAAAGTTCTTTCTCACCAAAATTGATGTGTGTCCCCTGTAAACTAATAAAAGTTGTACACCCAAGCAGAAAGTTGGGGGGTTAAATCTCACGTAGAGCAATTTTCTTGATTTGCTTAGCAGTACAGTAATCATGGGCGCCATCATGGAATTTCAGCCATCAAAAAAGACATCCAGCTCAGATGATTAAGCTCTATTGTGTGCAAAATACATAATCTGGATGCACTGGGGCGCATCTTCAGTAGCTGCGTTTCCACTATCGCGCCTAAAGCGAGCAAGCCAGGGTGCGCCAAGGCCAGTCGCGTTTCCACTGTCACTTCCGGGGCCTAATCGGGCCAAAGCGGGGCTTTCTTGGGGCCAGCGGCCGGCCTTTTTCGGCCTGTTGAGTACCTTCGGCCAAAGAGGGCCAGCTGGGGCTTCGGGGTGGAGTGAAAGGAGAGGCGGGCACAGTTTTCCGATCGAACATGAGTACATGTCCCAAACAAACAAATAAATAAATAAGTAAGGGAAAGAAAACATCTAGCCTTATGGGGTCTTTTTGCATATGATCGCCCTTATGTTTCCCTTTTAAATGTAAGGGTGTTGCATAAAATAATAAAGTAGTTTTTGTTGGATATATCTTGGGGTCACTGGGTGTTTCAGGTCTTTTAACATTAGGCGCCCTCTCACAGGTGACTCAGCTGAGTTTGATCAGACTCCAGCATGCGTCCCAGTAGCCATCACTCACGAATCAGCCCTCTTTATCCATAGCCATCTTGTGGCTTTCTCTGCAGCTTCACTAACAGACCTAATGGCCATTTTCTTTGCTGCTACTGCTATGCCTAGTCGGTTGAAGACTTTACAGAGTGAATGCCCAGCAAACCCTCTACAGCCCAACTCTATTGGCTCACAGTGTGTCTTCCAGCGCCCTTCTGTACTAGCTCTTGGTACTTTGAGTGTTTTCTTTCACTTGCCTCTTCCATCCGCCCTTCCAGGGCACTGTAAGTTCAAACAAAATCAACTGTCTTGTTGCCTCAGAAAAGATAATGTCTGGTCGGAGTGATGTTGTAACAACAGTTGAAGTCAGAATTATTAGCCCCTCTTTGAATTTTTTTTTTTAATATTTCCCAAATTGTTTAACAGAGCAAGGAACTTTTCACAATATATCTGATAATATTTTTTCCTCTGGAGAAAGTTTTATTAACTTTATTTTAACTAGAATAAAAGCAGTTTTAAATTTTTTTTATTAGCCCCTTTGGGCTTATTTCTTCGATAGTCTACAGAACAAACCATTGTTATACAATGACTTGTCTAACTACCCTAACCCGCCTAGTTAACCTAATTAACCTAGTTAAGTCTTTAAATGTCACTTTAAGCTGTATAAAAGTGTCTTAAAAATATCTAGTAAAATATTATTTACTGTCATCATGGCAAAGATAAAAGTAATCAGTTATTGGAAATGAGTTATTAGAACTATTATGTTTAGAAATGTGTTGAAAAAAAAAATCTTCTCTCTGTTAAACAGAAATTGGGGGGGAAAAAAACAGGGGGGGTAATAATACTGACTTCAATTGTATGTGCTGTGGGAACTGCTTCCCCAGGTCAACATGCAACTTCCAGTCAGGAGCTGAATGGAGGAGGCCCGACCTTATCTTTTGCAGTTGGCAGGGTTCCTCCTCAGCTTTCACAAATTCAATCCTCCATTTTGGGGCAAGATGATATGGTACCTATCATCTTTGAAAAAGATAAGCAAATCTATCATCTCACTGAAAGTTTTTAGTAGAGCATCTAAAAGCCACGTCAATTAGTTCAGCAGATATACTGTACATGACTTTGAATCTCACCCATATCCATGTTGCTTAGTGGAGAACATGAGTCAATTATCATTTTAGCCAATCACAGACATTTCTTTAACACAATGGCCAACCCATCAGTTGCCGCCTGTTGCTACACCTGACAGCATGAACACAAGCATCCAACTGGTCTAGATATGTCATTCTAAATATTTATTTTTTGCATCTTTGTTTTTCAAGCCTCTTTGATGTGTTTTTTGAGTAGTTCACACAAAAAGACTCCAGAGTGCTGAACAGCTGCAGATTTTTCCCTAATCACTGCCTGACCTGTTGGTGACCTTGTTCATTTGCTAATTGGGCTTTAATCAAGCTTAAAATTCTGTAGCGTAAAGCATAAATTAGGATGTTGTTTTGATATTGTTAACATTTATGGTAAATTTGATCAAGATTTTGGTCAAAAACCAATACTTTTACAGCTATAATTTTATGCAATTTTGTAAATGCACCTAAAAATCATCAAATCTTATTGACCTTATTCTGGAATACATAATTAAGCTTTTTTTTTTAGAACTTCCGATTTAATTGCATATGAGAGAAATGACTAGGAATATGACAGAAAACGGTCTACACTCAAAAAATTATGTTCGTCGTTTGTTCGAAATACTTATTTAAAATGAGCCGAAACAACATCATTCTTCCATTTAAATTAGTGAAAATTAAAAATTGAAATTAAATTTTGAATTAAAATTAAAAAGCTAACTTAATTCTTTCATGTTGTCCCAACACAAATCGATTGTGTGAAACTCAGCTTTTTTTTACAGTGTGCGTGGGTCTCAAACTCGATTACTGGAGGGTTGCAGCTCTGGAGAGTTTTTCTCCGACCCTAAATCAAACACCAAACACACTAATCAAGCTGTTCAAGACTACTGGAGACTAATAAGCAGGTGAGTTGGAGCTGGTTGGAGCTAAAATCTGCAAAGCTGTGGCCCTCCAGGAATTAAGTTTGATATCACTGGTGTAAGTAAAAATGAAATAATGTAAAAATACCAGTTTTGCAACATCAAACAACATAACACAATAAGGTTCCAATGGCTGAGCTTGCTCTGACATGTAATATCAAGGTCATTACATTTTCATAAATATCTTAAATAAACTGTTCGCTCACATGCACCTTTCCATTGTGCTGAAATGGAAAAAAATGAACCCCAATATTATCAAATAATAAATGAATACATAAATATAAAAAAAAAAACATAGCAAATTTAAGACTGGCATTCTGTTATCTATACTAATTACATGTAACCACAATTAAACATAACTGTAAAACATGTGCTGGATAAGTTGGCAGTTCATTCCACTGTGGCGACCCCGGATTAATAAAGGGACCAAGCAGAAAAGCAAAAGAATGAATGAATGAATGCAAAAATGTAATATTGAGGTTTTTTTTAATCTAAAGCTGCTACAGTATGCAAGCCAACTCTGTGTATGTTTGTATATCAGCATCCTAACTGCCACAGTTCATGATCTAATCAAAGGAAGTAAAGGAAGTAAACTACAGCATAAGCATTCTCATTTCCTGTGTACTCCCAACCAGCTCCATCTCTTTCTCTCCCTACTTCTTTTTTAATTCCTTATTCTCTCTTCCCCTCTCTCTCTCTTTCTGTTCTCTCTTTCCTCCACCATCCTTCTCACGGGAACAATAACAGGCAGTGCTTGTGGTTACAACTAAGATGGAGCAGATGCTGTGTTCTTCCCATACAGATGCATGAATTCACTCTACAGCTGACAGACTTTGACTGCCTCACCACAAAAAATAAAGACTACAAATGCCATGGCCACCAGCTGAGGGCAATCACATTTGTCTTAAAGAGTTAGTTTACCAAAATTACTTCCTTCAATAATTAATAGTGATGCATGATCATGATTTTTCATGTTTTTTTTTAAACTAGCAAATTGGCTGATTCAATAACAATTTTAAAATTTATTCGTGCTATTTTTAAACTAGAAGCTAGAAAAAAATGGTTATGTGAGAAAAAAAAGTGTATAAGCTTTATCACAGGCTGAATCTACAAGGATTTCAAATTAGAGGCAACAGCTGCAATTTAATCTTGATTCACACAAATGAGCAACATGAATCACCTTCACTCAAAAAAGATTTTATTTTTGCTTGTTCAAACTACTTATTTAAAATGAGTGGTAACAACACAATTCTTAAGCTTTCATTGGAAAACTTAATCTTTTATGTTCAATCCACATGAATTAGTTAAAAGTGTTAACTTAATCAATTTTGTGTTTGTTG